GGTCATCCGTCGTCCACTTACTATCTGCATTATCCGTAGTTTCAACTGGACTCTGCATGGATGGCCCGGATTCATAAGTATGGAAATTGCCGTAGTGCTACCGGGTTATTGAGAACGGCAACAATATTTTCATCCCGGATCGTCTGGGGTGGTCCTGGGCTTTGCCGGGATGCTGGGTGAGAAACGCTACTTAAATCGGTACTTTTAATCCATGTAATCCCTATGGAAAACATTTATAACTGGCTGATGCATTACTGTTGATCATAGAAAAAAGTGCAATTAACATATGAAAAGTTGAGACATTTATCGTTAACCGATTTGGACATTTTATGAGCACCTAAATTTGTTGCGACATTTTTCGTTAATTTTTGGACATTTATCGTTAAAGGAATTATGGACATTTATCGGCGATTGAGACATTTATCGTCAATTTTTGGACATTTATCGTCGTTTGGACATTTTTCGACGTTTGGACATATATCGGCGCTACAGTAGACATTATGTTCGAGATATTTCCTTGTGTTTATTTTGTTTTGTTTTGTTTCTGCAAAACTGGGAATAGTAGAGAATAAACATTTCTATTATATTGCTATTGTTGTTATGGTTATCTTAATTTAAAACCTATACCTTAACGATATTTGAAATAGCATACATTCGACACAGTATTGTTTTAGTCTTAAACTTATCTTTGCCAAATTTCTCCTTCAAAAATTTTAAACCAAAAACGAAATTTGCATTCTCGCGAGGACACTATACCAACGTTTAATTTCTAATTTAGTAATTTGGTAATCTTTGAGCCTCGCAAAGAATCAAACTATTCTTTTGCGAGTCTGTTTTAGTCAATGATTAGTCTTCATTCCGCGTGCTTTTTTCGCAGAAGAACTTCGGTCTTTTCCAGTAAAGATGGTATGGGGAGACATTTGTAAATGGTACGTTTCACTAGTACAATGTATCAAATAAGTTCACTCTTTATTTCTACGTAACGTATATACATCAAAAACAATCATATAACAAACACGTTCGCTTAACTTTGATGTATGTAACTTGAATCATGCCTTAAATATAAAATGCCTTAACATAAATGGCAAAAGTTGTACTTTAACCTGGTAATAAAAAGAAAAAGGACATGTTACGTAATCCCAAAAAAGTCTTCATAAAAGCTTACTATACACCAAGTTTCAATGAAATATTCCATTTTAAACCCTTGTTATTGACCAGACACTAATTTCTATTTTTAGTAACAGTGACCTTAAACTTGACCCTTGGAGGCCTAAAAGCAATAAAAAAAACAATGTCTATACATAAGTTTGGTATACACCAAGTTAAATTGAAATATTTCATTTCTTATTTTAGTTATAGGTAGATGAGCTGGAAGGCATGCAGCAAATTAGATGGTTTCTGTTCAATCACTATATACAATTTTGTTACTTGTAGTATAGTGGTTGTGATTAAAATGATATGTCATTATAGATTACATTATATGTAAAAAACAAAGGGCCATAATATTATCCAATCACAAAACCCCGACAATATGCACTAAGGCACTTGATAACAAAGCTTCTGTGGAAGTTTGAACAATATCCCTTGAGAAGTGTAGGAGAAGTTGCGCAAATAAATTGTTCACTATATATTCTATTAATAATAATAAATGTTATATGAGGAAAAAAAACAAAGGGTCAAAATTAGGTAAAAAATTATGCAATCACAAAACCCCGACAATATGCGCCAGGGTACTTTATGAAAAAGCTTCTGCAAAAGTTTCGTCAAATTCCCTTGAGAAATGTAGGAGTTGTGCACAGAAGAAATTTCTACGCCCGCCCACCTGTCCACTCAATCTTACTTCAGAAAACCTGGTGAAAAACACACAAACAAAACAAAAACAAACAAACAAACAAAACACAAACTTTTAATTAATGCAAAAAAAGACATTCAATAAACAAATGTGACCAGTTATTTAATGCAAATCATTTCATAAATTAGCTGTACAATGCTGATGTATTTTCCGATTTCTAAAACATTGACATGTAAAAAAACGCCGTTTACGTGTATTTTAGATCTTAAATTAATTGACAGAAGCTAAAACAAAAACAAACAAAAAAACATCAAGAAATTATAAAATAGCTGGCTCTCAGGCAACCGTATACAAATTTAATTTATTCTCCCAAACCGTACAGTTGGAAACACCAATGATGATTTATTTGTCTTTTTTTCATAAACCACTGTGTGCACCCCAGATATTGTTTAATTTTCTTTAGGTCACATGATTATTCTTCAAAGTATCAAGAGGATTTGCTCGTATATTACATACAAAGCTTGAAATCGGTGTTTGAAGTCAACAATTGTGACATTTTTTTAGGAATCTGGGTGAGAAGTCGTATCTTTTCGGAAAATATAGGTTTAACCGTAGGGCTTAGGCCACAAATTATCTCTTTTATGTATCTCCTATAGATATAAAAGTAAATTTCCTCAATGATTGGTCTTAATTGAACTTATATATCAATTTTCAGTTCAAAATCAGCGATTTCCCCCCCCCCCCCCCTTTTTTTTTTTTTTGTTTGTTTTGTTTTTTTGTTTTTTTTTGTTGTTTTTTTTTTTTTGCTCGCAAGCGGAAGTTTAAAGCGGCTGTGAAATATGATTTTTCCAACTTGAAACCAATTGAACAGGATCCGTGACGGATTCTTTATTGTTTGCAAGTCGGTGGTTTACAGCGTTAAATTTTTACTTCAGCGAATCGTGTTACTTGGTTAGTTCCACAATAATGTACCATATACATGTATTTATAGTCAGAAAACTTTGTTAAGTGATAATGTTTATAATTTTTATAGGTAAAATTAAGATAAGCAAATGATTGTTACACGAAGAAAGAATATTTTCAAGAACACATAATCACAATATTCAAGTACGTATAAATCACAATATTCAAGTACACTTTTTTTACAATATTTAGAAACAAATTAATCACAATATTCATAACATATTATTCAAAATATTCAAGAACGTATTAATCACAACATTCAAGAACGTATTAATCACACTATTCAAGAACGTATTAATCACAATATTCAAGAACGTATTAATCACAATATTCAAGAGCTTATTAATCACAATATTCAAGAGCTTATTAATAACTCATTACTCACAATATTCAAGAACTTATTTATAAATAACATGCTGAATCATCTTTGTTAAAAATGGTGTAATGATGAACATATCTTAATTATCTATAATACATATTTTTATTTATTCATAATAATATCATGAATAATAAGAATGCCAATATAGGAAAAAGACATATATGTATTTCATTTTGTTTTCCTTTCCCTAAACACCGGAAAGATTTCCGTATGGGCGAGCAAAAACTATTAGTAGTCAATTATTTATATCTCAATATGAAAAAGCCCAAATGGCAAATATTTTAGTTATTTCAGTTTATTAATAACTTTGCCCACTTCACTGAACATTATAGTTAATCACCATTTTGTTTCTTGAACAAAAGAATCAAATACATCTGAGGACTTATAATAAATATTTTTATGAAATCTAAAGTACATCGTCAAATACATAACTTGTCTATATAGAATGTTGCATTGAAAGCACCAATAAATTCATTTGTAAAGAATTTAGAATGGCATTGTCCATTTGAGTTATCACACTTGCAATTTACACAATGATCAGACTATTAAAAAGATGAAGAAAAAAACAAATATTATAAATGTCTATACGTATTATGTATTTGTAAGTTAGTGAGATAGAGTATTAAATAATGATAATCACACGTAAAACTAGATAAAATGTTAGGTGATAGTCTAATTGATAATGCAGAACACTTAATACATATGCCTTGTGTTTTCAGTTACTATATTAAGTGCTTTAAAACTGCAAATGGTTTACAGAAAATTCAAGGAATGTATACAAAACATATATGAGCCGCGTCACGACAAAACCAATATCCGCACAGTCTGATAAGGATCCATGCTGTTCGCTATCAGTTTCTCTGCTTGTAATAGGGTTTGTAAGCGAACAGCATGGATCCTGATCAGACTGTGCGGATGCGCAGGCTGGTCTGGATCCATGCTGATCGCAAACCCATTATGTTGGTTTTGTCGTGACGCGGCTCATATTATCTAGTTTCTAAAACTTCAGTTGGTTGTACACATAATTGTCCATTCCTGAGAAAAAAAGACCAATGGCGACTTCCAATTCCAGACCACATTTTAGACCTAATGAATAATAAAGTGATGTTAGAAGTCACCACCGATCTTTCGTATGTTTCTGATCTAACTTCTTAAGGCCTCAACAGACGGTAGGATTTTGAAGTAACTAAGTTGTACAGGCAAATCTTAATGTGTGAAGGCTACTATTACTTGATTTCGGAAACCTTAAGTCTAGATGTAAGGGATAGGACATGTTCTATTTTGAAAATCTTGTCGTACAGATTTTTACAGACCTTCCACAATGACAAGTGACAGATAACCAAATTATCTCCTGATAATTGGTGTTAATGAATTAAAATTCCAAAACAATTAGGGCTAAAAGGTAAACATAGTGGTAAGATGGGATAAAATAATGTTTAAAAAACTCTTCAGGAGACCCAAAGTTGTGTTATGTTCCAATCCAAATTATTCCGAAAAATTATTATGTCACGGTATTTGAATTGTTCTCTAATTAGGGGAGGGGAGAAGTTTTGTAGGCGGGCCAGATAGCTTAGTCAGTAGAGCCGCAGTACGGTATCTCCGAGGGCCCCCAGGTTTGAATTCTCAGTCAGGCTCACATTAAAAATATATATATTTTTTTAAATGGAGGTGTTTCCAATCATTACTCATGGCGAAAAAAGTATTTAGTGAGTTAAAGTATGTAAAGGATCAATAGTATAAGGGATTCTTTTTAGGGGAACCTTAGATGATTCTTACAGTACGATGGTAGGAATTACCGTCTGAATGCAAGTGCTGTATAGCTTTGAAACTTGTACATCTTATCTCTAATTAGTGCTGTTAACAACTAAATCCTACGTCCTGTTGAGGCCTTACTTTATTTCACTGTACTTACGAACTAACGAGCTCAAAGTTTTATAGATAAATAGATAATTATCTGTTAATTATCTGTTATTTCAATGTTAAGTGTCTGCAGTTTTAAATTGATACCACTATATCTAGTGAATCACATGAATATCTGTTATTTATCTTATTTACACAAGAACTAACTATACATGTAGTTGGTAAGGTAACTAAGTTAAACGTTAAACTTACATGTTTAATAATCGGTAGAAATATGCAGCCATAGAATATATTTAATTCAATTTTGTAAATACGTACTAATAAACTTTAACCTATACATAGTTTATAGCTTGAAGGAAAAATCATCATTCATCATTATCAAGAATTAAGATTTTAGAATATGTTCCTTATGTTATGCTCTTCATACAAATTGTTTTTCAATCTTTCCATTCTTGCGGACCTTAAAATTTCTTAGACGCCAAATCACAAATGCCTTAACGCACACAATTTAAACAAGCTCAACACTGTACATTGTAAGTCTGAAACTCTTTCGTCCCGTAGCATGTCATCTTACAGTAAAAGAGTTGTCTTCGTTCGTACCATTCTGTCCTCTATGAACCTGATGACGGGAAAGAAAACTTGTTATAAAATCGTCAATGGCGTCAAAAATCAAAAAGAACATGCATAAAAGAGTTCTGTTTGTAGATAAATATACTGTTAAGGAAAATAAAATACCGATGATAGTAAATACTGGATGGTATAAAGATATGGGCGTTTAGACAGGTGCGCGATACACAAATGAGAGTGTGGCATTGACAATAAATCTCATTCTTTTACATTTGACCTGGAAATCAGTCGTTGACTTAACATACTCATTGTTGTTTGCCATGATATTTTGAAATCTTAAATTGTATAAAGTGTATAAAGTTCGATGTTCCGTTTGGTCAATCATGATTTTCTATTTCGTCCCTACCCGCGATGCACGATAGTACGATGGTGAAAACGCGATGGTACGATGACACGATTGATGAAAACCACGTATGGTAAGATGGTGGAAACGGCTCAGGATGGTTACGATGCCACATGATTAAAACACATGGTACGATGGTTGAAAAACGCGAGATACGGATGAAAATTGAAATCCGCCGGATGCAAAGATGGTGAAGACGCGATGGGTACGATGGTTGAAAGCGCGATGTTACGATGCTAAAACGCGAATTTCGGACTCTAAAACGCGTTAGCACGATGATGAAAATCGCGATGGTACATGGTGAAAGCGCTAAATGCTACGATGCGTGAAAACACGATGGCGGCGATGTTGAAAAACAGATTGTACGATGGTGAAAAACGCGATGGTACGATGCTTGAAAACGCGATGACACGATGGTGGAAAGCTCGATGGCACGATGATGAAAACACGATGGCGCAATGGTGCGATGGTACGATGGTAAAAACGCGATGGTACGATGGTGAAAGCGCAATGACACGATGATGAAAACGCGATGACACGATGGTGAAAACGCGGTGGCAAGGTGGTGAAAACGCGATGGTACTATGATGAAAACACGATGTCGCGATGGTACAAACGCGATGGTACGCTGGTGTAAACGCCATTTTTTTACAATCGTGCTATCGGGCCATCGCGTTTATGCCATCGTACCATCGTGTATCGCGAGTACAAGACTAAATGAAAATTCACGATTGCCCAAAGAAAACAGTAATAAAAAGCTTTATCTGATTTTAAAATAAAAAATCTGAAAAAAAACCGTTTGAAAGAAATTACGTTGCTAATTTTCTCTGTTGGAATAGACGCATGCACACGATCATTGTTAAACGGCATGAAAGCATATTTTCTAAATTGCAGCATTATATTTTGTTCAAGAACATTTCGTTTTGTTTTCCCGGGGTCTTTCAAATAGAATGGTCTGGAAAACGTTGCTTATAAAAACCTTTCTCACTACAGATTTAAACATGTCTCGTAATAACTGGTATTAATTTCAATACGCAATTATGTAAATGTTAAACAAAAAGGCGAAAATTAAATACAACAGCAAAAATGAAAGTTCTGACGACATGATGTTGACGACATAATGTTTTTTAAAAATCGTTTAACTTGAGAAAAAAGATAAAAATTATAGAAAGTAATGTTTGTAAATAACATCGTAAAATATTATATTATATAATCTTTACATAATACGATAGAATAACATTTTTTTCTCTGTAAAATCAATTTCTATTTTGTCATTGAGAAATACATAAATTAAAAAAAAAATGAAACTCTGACCTATTTTCAAATACATGTATAAGCTGTAGAGTTTTACCTTGACACTATGAACGAAAAATCCTAATTTCATTTAAAATCTATAAATTCCTTTTTAAATGCAATATCTATTCATGACATTATAAATTTGTAATTAAATTCCATTTAAAATACCCTGGTTTACATACAGTATTCATGTGTGTTAACTCACAGAAACGTTCTATGTCACAACTCATTCGATAATCTACTATAAGATCATATAAAACTGTATTTAATAATATACAATAATTTCATTAGTTCATTAGATATAACTTTAAACCCTTTAAGGATGTCACGGTTATATAATAATTGAATCTGTCCTAATATTTTACTTCATATTGTGAACTTGACATTAGAGTAGTGAATTTTTATTCATGCAAAACTATAACTTATGAAACTCTAGCATCATCATAATCAAAAAGATTTACCTTAAAAATATCCTTTAAACCAAGGTTTCCCAATAGGTCTTACAATACTAGTAGATTCCTCGGATATCTGACAACGTTTTAAGTCTTCGTCTATAAAATAAATCAAATATAATAAAAATACAATACGATTTACAATATCAAAAGTTATCAAAGATTGTTTCAGAGAGAATGACTTTACTTACGAAGACAACAATTTTGATTTTCTTACCTTTATTATTGCTGCCGTTGGCATTTTTATCACCTAAAAAATCGCCACCGCTTTCGCTTTTATCATGGAATTCATCTACATTTTTATTGCCTTCTTTATAACAAGATGATTCAGCCGGCGAAATGGATTCGGAAAGTAATCCATCAAGATTCCCAAGCTTTTCAGGTGCAAGCAAAATAGTTTGCAACTGTTGGTCTGGTATAAAGGTAAATTGTTTAATATTATTCTCCCTTTTAATTCTTGACAATTCTTGCTCTATATCAATAATACCCGGCTTGCTTTCAATTGCTTGAACAAAAAGGGAACTTTCCCGATACGTTTCTGTGTCTATTTTCTTACCCAGTTCCGTTGCTCTTGAAGAAAGTTCCAACAATTCTCGTTCAAGCCTTTTCTAAAATTTCTTTATTTTTACAATCTATACTTTCAAGCTCTTGAAAGAATGTTTGATTTCTGCTTTGTCAAAATAGGTCGTTTATCCTTGTTCGAAACTTTTTGAATTTCCTCCCTTTGCTTTTTCTTGCATCGTTATGTTTGACTTCAATCCCTCTTCAACTCGAATTCTGTTTATCAATGATTGCTAAACGAATATCCTTCAAGTTTTCAAGAAGACTTTTGAAAGAATCATTTTCTTGAGAAATCTTTCGATAAATCCTTTATATTTTCAGAGTTGACATGGGATATGATCAGTATCATGCATTCACCACATCCAACGATTTCATGCTTGCGGCATAAAACTTTATCAATTCACCGCAATATGGTTTTGCATTTTAATAGCAATTTCAGATTCCTTTTGAAGTGAAAACTTGGCGATATAACCAAAAAATGTTTTAACAAGATTTCACCTTCAGGTGATATTGGAAGCACGTATTACACATAAATTGGTCGCATTCTAAACAAACTCCATCCGCATTAGCGATCTGAGTGTCTCCGATATGACAAAGTTCACATAATTCTTTAGGGTCTGAAGTTATTTGTATTGTTTTACCTGAAACTTCCATGCTCGCCTATATTTAACCGTCCCAAGCAATAACGTTTAAAATTTAAATGATAATTTCGACCGACCAGTCACATTCAAAGTGGCCCTATTTCGTTAAAATTATCTGTGTAACTATGTTATCGTCTCGTTAAGATTGGTTACTAGATTAAGATTTATCTTAATTTAATAAACAACGCGTGAGTAATGACAAAAGGACACAAAAAAGAGCCTACTTTTATAAAAAAAAACTTATACAAAGGAAATCCAAGTGATTTATACGCTACAAACCAATAATCCATTTTTTATTACATATTCACAAAAAAAAAATAACTTACTAGTGTCACTTTGAATTTGTCAGATTAGGACACTGTTATTTCTCTTCTCCCCTTTCCTTTTCCAATAAAGGGTTAAAAATTATAAAGACATTTTAAATGTGTCTTAAGAAACCACCCCCACCAAAACAGTGTTTTTTCCAATTTTGGGTGATCTTTTTAAAATGAACCCTCGACACTTCTGATATAGAGAAAATTTTAACATGCAGGAACAAACCCAAACCCAAAACCTTTTTGAAAAATTTTTTCAAAGAGCTGGGTTTAAAAGTAAAATATTAAATTTGTTCAAATGAAAAAAATCGAGCATAGACACCCTCTTGCCCCATGGCAATGTAAAAAGAGTCTTAGTCAAAGAACCCTTTTAATAAGTGTCTGTTGTGGAAAGAAAAAAAGAAAAAAAAAATCTCAAATGAATGAGATCTGTTTTCATGTATGTATGTATGTACCTATAAAGTTTGAATTTAGCAATGCTCTGAGTGATTCTAAATATGTGTGCAATACGATTTTGTGATGATACAATTTTGATGCACAGGAGGCCAATGAGACCATTGAATGCACCATGGAGAAAAATAAGGTGTTGCCGCCAAAATAAATAATCATATCTCTCAAACGAGCTTGACTGACACAGGTTTTCCGTATGCATGGCCAAAATGCACGATTATTCTTTCCAGTTTTTCACAGACGAATTGGGATGAAATTTTAGCCAAAAAGCGGATTCCTTTTCAATTTTGTATAATACTTATAATGAGAATACCCAAAACTGGTGAAATGTAAAATATATCATCGCACATACTATAAGAATCAGCAAATAATAAAGAAGAGATTTTTTCACTGAGGATAGCTTAGGTTATTCATGCAGTAGCTACTACGCCCAATATATATCTGTAAAAGTATGAAGTCCTTGGGTGTGCATTTTTATTGGTTTTCGCCGGAGAGGCGATACGAAGATTTATTCTTGATTTAATGTTCGTTCTTTTGACAGTAACTTTTAAATTATATTGCATTGTGCTTAACGCCATACTTAAACATGTCAAAAAGGTAAGTCTGTATCAACTCATGCAATTTTGTCTATGTGTGAATATTAATACCCAGTATTCTAAAATATCGACATTAATTAAATTTGCTAGGGCTCTTTCACATTGCCGATGGCGCTAGCACCTTGTCGATGGCTCGATCTCATTTGAATAAATTTAAGTATTTTATTTTCATCCAAGCTTTTTGAAATATTGTTTGCGTTGAGCCAAAGGTGAGGTAGGTACAATGTAACTTGCAAGGTTTTGTGGGCCAACATTAACTTTATGGTAGTGAAATCACTCTCGGGAAGGAAAACACGCGAGTTGATATTCGGTAAAAGTTCTAGCAACGTCATGTTGGGGTACTAAGTATCGAAATTGCATGATTAAAAAAAGTATTTTACGTGGCATAGCATTCTTCGATTTCTGTTCTTTTAAATCGGATATTTTTAGAAACTGCGTTTACCTTTTTCAGCTTTGATTTGGCTGATGGCTTTACAACGGAAGTGTCAATGGTTCTTATTTAAACAGATCACCAAAATGTGAAAATGCCACTGTTTAGTAGGCGTGCAACAACTACATTGAAAGTAAATGATCATTTAAATATTATGCGAGCAGTAATTGAATAAATCATTGTGCAACTACATGTATATGATACCGCATCCACAAAATAATCAACTAGACTTAAAATTTGAGAGCTACAAGTTATTAAAGATTACCTCTTTTCAAAAAATTGATCTGCTAAAGGTTTGTCAGATATTGATATTGCTCTATAAGGTTTTAACGATCTAAAACATGAACATAGTTTCTTGGATATATTCAACTTCATCCGAGTGTTTTTACAAGCAGCATATATCCCTCGGTATCCTTTTCAGCCATTTCGGAGAGATTTGTCGTCATTGATTGGCTCTTTGTAAAGTTGACACAGGAACTTGGAATCCTTCTGAAGCAAAAGGTCTCTGTATTGTTATGGAGATCAAAAAGATTACACATATAAGAAACAAGAGCTGTCGGTAGGACAGCAACGCTCGACTATTCTTAGTGCTTGATAGTAAAAAAAATGCTTGATACAGTTACCTCCTCCTGTTTACAGGTAGGGGTCATGATGGTGAACAAGTGTGCAAAGTTTCAAAGCCATATGTCAATGGACTGAAAATATTTGAACTATTACAAAAACTTTAACGTAAATTCCAAGTCGAAAAAGGGGCATAATTCTGTCAAAATGCTTGATAGAGTTACCTCCTCCTGTCTACAGGTTGGGGTCATGATGGTGAAAAAGTGTGCAAAGTTTCAAAGCCATATGTCAATGGACTTTGAAAATATTTGAACTATTACAAAAACTTTAACGTAAATTCTAAGTCGAAAAAGGGGCATAATTCTGTCAAAATGCTTGATAGAGTTACCTCCTCCTGTCTACAGGTTGGGGTCATGATGGTGAACAAGTGTGCAAAGTTTCAAAGCCATATGTCAATGGACTTTGAAAATATTTGAACTATTACAAAAACTTTAACATAAGTGGTTACGCCGACGCAGACGCTCGGGTGACTACAATAGCTCTACTTATTCTTATAGAATAGTCGAGAAAAAATATGAAAATATATATCAAAGGTTTTTAGTCATAAGTATAATTTTTCGAAATTCTGGAATCCTGGATTCTTCGTGGTCATACACAATAACGGCTAATGTCAGATACAGCAGCAGGCAGAAGAGCACATGACACACCGATTGTAATAAGCCCTAAACATAACAAAAATTAAGTGTCGTTTTGCTTTTCATCCATTTTGTGCAGTTCAACACATATACATATCTCAAGACTCTCAATATCTGTTTTTCATGTACCTGTGCCTGTGTTTGTGTATTTAGAAAAAAGAAAATATTACAATATCAAGTTAACAGCATTTAAATTTGGCGTCTATACACTGTGAAAACATGACCGTCTTTCCAAGTAAACTCTTATTCATAACAAGAGTGCCAAAATGGCCCTAAATCGCTCACCTGACCCAACAAACTCATCCAAACAATTACTTAGACAAGCATCCTGACCAAGTTTGAGTACAATTGAGTAAAAAATGTGACCACTAGAGTGTTAACAAGGTTTTTCCATATTTGGGCAGTGTTACCAAGTTTTTGACCCAAGGTGACCCATATTCGAACTTGACCTAGAAATCATGAAAACAAACTTGCGATGTCTGGATCAAAATAGTAGCCACTAGTGTTTACAATATCTTCCTTTTTTTTAGCTCCTGTAACCTAGTTTTTCATCTGAAATGATCTCATCTGACCAATCATTTTAACAAGCGTCTTGACAAAGTTTGATGATGATTGAGGCAAAAATGTGAACACAAAAGTGTTAACAAGGTTTTTGCATATTTGTGCGGTGTGACCTAGTTTTTGACCCCAGTAACCCATATTCAAACTTGACGTAGAAATCATCAAAACAAACTTTCAGGACAATTTCCAGGATGTTTGGATCAAAACAGTAGCCAGTTGAGTTAACAAGATTTTCTATTTTTTTGGCTCCTAAGACCTACATTATTTAGTTTTTCATCCGAGATGACCCCTGTTCGAACCTGTTCGAACTCATCCGAGGAATTACCTAGACAAGGATCATAATAAGGATTATAATCACAAGGATAATAATAATAAAAATAATGATGAATGGAGCATAAATGTGACCGCTAGAGTGTTAATGAACAAATGTGGAAGGACCACGAACATTCAATGATCCTTTAAAAGCTCACCATGAGCTAGCTCATGTCAGCTAAAACACCTAGTTGTCCTTTAAAATTACAATATATAATACAAGGTTTATCCAAAACGTATATATAATCTGAAACCAATACATAGATAATGCTTCGAAGATCATAATTATTTATTCATCAAATAGTATTTTTTCAAATAAAAACTGTGTACACAGTCATAATTGTGAAAAATTTTCTGTAAACAAAATTTACTTAAATAATGATTAATATATTAATTTATAATAATAATATTCATTAAACAATCTCGTAAAGGATCTCGATCAAATTCACTGTTATAACAACACTTTGGTTTTACTATCCAGGCATTCTTTCCACAGTTTAGATTTTTAACACAGTTAAATATCCCCGCTCAGTGTTGCTATGATCACATAATATCACTGCTGAGTTATTATACACAGCATGGAGAACCTCGTGATGTGACATTTCACCTGTCACATACAGATCTGCTGTGACATTACGTAGAACACTTCCGCCCGAGCCCGCACAAACTGCAACACTTGATACTGCCTCAACTCCTGTAATACAACAAAAAAAAAATATCCGGAATCAAACATGATACAAATATGAATCTTTCAAGGAAAAAGCAAAAGATACTTCTTAAAGCTACATGCATACAGATGGGCTAAAATATTTCAAGAAAATCAATCTTGAGAAAAATTTACTGTACTTTCAAGAGAAGTAAAATGATTCAAATTTCAAAATAAAAAAGTCCATGTTATGAATGATTAATGACAAATTTAGCAGTATTTTTCACCATATTTTTTCTTCGTTACCAATGCAGTAAGGACTATTTTTGCACATTTTGACCTTTTTTTAGTATTATGAGTGTCAATTGCAATGTATCAATTTTTTTTTGTTCACCTCACAATATTTTACTCTTTAATACTTTTTCAAATTTTTCATGAAAATACGCAGGAATATGGAGACTTGCTGCTTTAAGTAATTTAGAAAAGAATTAGAGGTGTGCGTTAACCATAAATATCCCTATCCCAAAATTGTCTGGTAATAACAAAGGACATAATGAAATTTCTGCAATTTAAAAAAAATCAAGGTTGTTTAAAGGTTAAGAATCAACTTAAAAAATCTAGCTATCTAACTAGGTATGTTTCTAGCTAACATAGAAAAGAGAAACATTACAATGATGAAGGTTGAAGTACACCGTTTATGTTTTCTTTGATCCTGGCTTTGTAGAAAGTTCATTTTCCAAAATCTTGGAAAGGCTTACAGACACTTCACCCCCCAGACACTTCACCCTAGGCCCTTTTTTGCAGACACTTCACCCCTCAGACAGTTCACCTCTCATTTTAAGAAATTTATTTGAGACACTTCACCCCTCGTATTTTTTATTTTGTGTTTAACAATTATTTTATGTAGATTATGTTAAATACATTTCAATTTAGTGATTGAGTACTGTTTCATTGTTTTAACCCATTGTCTAATATAAATTTTGAGTTGATTTAATTCTTGAAGTTTTGGTACTTTAATTATAAGTTTGTTTTCAGTTTGATCCTTACCATATAACAAATCATTGAGTTACGTTCATTGTGGTGATGGTTTGTGCTTTAACCTTGTGCTTAAATTACATAACTGGTGCTATTTATTTGTTTAATAATTGACATTATGAATGATCTTTGTATTAAATGCAGGGTAATTGTGTCTGATAATGATGATAAATAACTTATATTTACTATATTTTATAAAGCATCCGATTTATTCATTCATATTCATTTATATTCATTTTATTTATTTAATTTATTTATTAAGAATAAATTTAATTTTCATACGACTATACCATTTTAATTCAATTATTTTATCAATTGTGAGATAACCGTTGAATAAACAACTAATCAACATGTTGAATTAACAAGGTGACATGCAATAAACACTTAATGGATGAAAGTACTGTGATATATCATTTGGCAATACAACCAATTAACCTATATCAGCTTTAAACTTAGTAAAAATAAAGGTAATAAGCAAAATTTTTAATCAAGTAATACTAAAAATAATAAATATAAACATATACATGTATAAGCATTTTGTAGTTGACAACTTGTTTTATTTACTTTATAGAAAAAAATTGGATGAGGGGTGAAGTGTCTTACCGATTTTGGGGGGTGAAGTGTCTTAAGGGGTGAAGTGTCTTCGAAATTTGAGGGGTGAAGTGTCTGGGGGGTGAGGTGTCTAGCTACCTCTTTGTGCACCACATGTAACTATAAAATCCTTGCCTTGTGCACCACATGTAATTTCTATAATCGTTGCTTTATTTTCTAAATTCCTTGTTTAGTAAACCATATTTTCTAACTGTATCCTTTCTATAACTCATTGAATTGTATGCTGTTTATTGATATGACCATTTAGCAATAAAATGAAAAGCACTTAACATACCTGGAGATTTAGCTAGGCGTACATGATCTAGTTTGAGATGTTTTTTCACAAGTTGTACAGCCTCATCTAGTGATATACTCTTGTTGAGCTTGGCTTTACGACCCATACCATAACCCAATGTAGGTGCCTAAAAGAATATGAACAATTTTTTTTTAATTACATGGTACATTATCTCAACTTTTTTTTTTTTTTGAAAACCCTGGCAAAGTCCAGATAATGAGAGTTGACCATATAAGCTTGTACTCTACAAGGAGGACTAACACTATAATAACATGACCTTTCAAGTCACATAAATATGTCTAAAAACAAACTATATAAATCAGTCTTTTGATGTTTGCTTTGAAAATATAGGAATTTACATGTACATATCATCTAAACTGGAACATCTCAAATAATGGTTTTATAAGGACTTTAATTTGTTGTGTTTTTAAATCAAAATGACAATGTAAATGTCATAATAGAATTGTCTAGCTTTTTTGGTGGCAGGAGACCTAAGGAACTCTGCAATATTCTATTTTAGGCACCCAAGTCAAACCGCAAGCTTTTCTTAATTTGACTAAATATGGAGGTAAATAGCTGTGTCCCTTGTTGGTCAAACCTAAAGTAGTGTGGTATCTACACCAAGTAAATGATAAGATGTTCCTTTAACCTAGCTGGCTAATGAAAGTACATTGTATACTGCAATCATTTTTTTTCTAAATAATTCTACACAATTATAGTAAGCATCATGTAAAACTCCTTTGAAAAATATGAAAAGTTAAATAATATTAAAACTCATTCATGCTCCAAAATAACATATTCAAGGAAATTATTTGAATCTTAAAAACTTTACTAACCCAGTGAGTTATTATCAACATCACTAACACAGTGAAATATTTCTACATTCACTAACCAAGTGAGATATTTTCTACATCCACCTGCTAAATAAGATATTTTCTATATTCACTTACCCAGTGAGATATTTTCTACATTCACTTCCTAAATGAGATATTTTCTATATTCACTTCCTAAATGAGATATTTTCTATATTCACTTGCCCTGTGAGATATTTTCTACATTTACTTGTCAAGCGAGATATTTTCTATATTCACTTACCCAGTGAAATATTTTCTACATTCACTTGCCCAGTGAGATATTTTCTACATTCACTTGCTCAATGAGATATTTTCTATATTCACTTACCTAGTGAGATATTTCTATACATTGTATTCACTAACCAAGTGAGATATTTTCTATATTCAATACATGTAGTCTCTATATTCACTTACTCAATGAGAGATTTTCTATGTTCACAAAAAAGGAAAATTCATATTTTCAACTTACCTTTTCTAGGTTTGTTATCTGTAAATTCTTTACAGATTCCATTTTATCTTGTAATATTGACATCACCCTCTTCAAGGAAGATTTTGTACAGTGAACAGATAAGTGGTGCTTACCATCTGATCTGTAAACAAACAAAAAATCATTTGGCCATGCAAAAAAACAACAACAAAGAAAATACAAAAGAATGAAAATTTGTCACAAAATGAGTTTTTACTACCAATATCTGAAATTTTTGATCAAGAGATGTGTCTGTTGGACATGTTTGACTCCAAAACTCCACTGTGTCATCAATTTACAGATAGATAGCAGGACCAGAGAATAAACACTTCAATATATTCCACTTAATTGTCAAAGGGATAATAAAAACAAAATAGTCATAATTCTGCCAAATAGTTCATAATTCTGCCAAAACGTGACTAAAATCATGCATCTCAAATGCTTCTGATTCTGGTCACAATCATTTGTGAAAAGACCTGTATAAACTAACTATTGCTGATTACCATTATTATCAATGTAAATAACCATTACTTTTAAATACAAAAAACTGTATTTAATACCATCATTATCAAATATTAATTAACAAGCTATTATTACAAAACGATTGCATGTATTACTTAATAAATTACATTATCATTAAATATTAATTGCCATCATTATTATTTGTTTGGGTCGTCAGACCAAACAAATAATGGTAGCAAAATTTCAGACCCTGATATGCTTATTTGCAAAATCCTAAAGTTGTCCATCACAAATTCCTCAAAGCAGTTACTTCCCTTTAAAAGTACACTAACGCCGAAAAAATTAAGGGGAGATCACTGCGTAAAGATTGTCAAATGACAGGCACATTAATTTTCAAACCTCTGAGGGAAGAAAAAATAGTTCCTGATTGATAGAAGATTTCTAATTTGTGTAATTCTTTAACATTTCGGCAAATTTACCGTAATAATTCAAATAATTTTGAAATCATTTAAAATCAATGAAAATTACTCCAGTTTTTTTCAGTAAAAGCTTTCGGATTATTGTGATCGTCTAAATGTACATTTGTTATTTAGACTTTCTGAAAAATAAAGTAAGGATTGTTTGCACTCTCTAAAAACAGGGACATGATTATTATTACATCAGTGTTAAACAACAGGTTTACCGTGAACAAAATATCTCAACATTAATAATGATTACAAACCCTAATTTAGAATAATATTGTTTGCTTCAGGCTGATTTTTATAACTTCCCCATGGTCAGGGGTTACACGCTTGCATTAGGAGCGAAAGGTCTGTGGTTCCATCCTAGATAAGGCCACCCTTTTTTAAAAATTGTTTAAGCCAAATAAACATTGAATTGAATATCAGTGTTGCAATTAGCCTTATTAGTCTTATTGCCAATTTACTATGTACAGTTATAACACAGGAAACAGCATTGCTGACACTATACAAAAACAAAGTGGTATATTAATCTCACAAAACCTTGCACCTTTTCTGAAACCTAAACCAAATCAGTGCCTTCTGCCACTTTGATAAAATATTCATGATTATTTCATATTAATAAACATTTAAATGTTTACCTTTCTCTACATTTCTGTAATTTTAACTTGTTGTTCGGCTTTTTTAAATGCCTCCCTTCAATGACTGGTTTCTGTTCAGCTGTACATCAAGCTCCACCTGGTGTGGGTGTGACATGTGAGAAAATCTTCATGCTGTTCCACAGGCTCCACTGACTTACAATCTTACAAAAGGTTATAAAATAATACATTTTTTTTAGTAAATAATTGTTTATAAACTGCCCAAAATTATGAGAAATTATCATTATTCCTTATATTATTATTTTCATAATCACTGTTACTTTATTTATCTCTATTACTATCAATATCACTATTATTGAAATCATTATCATTATAATTTATTATACAATTATTAACAAGTGAACCATCCAATATGATGAGTCACCGGTAGAAGGCCCAGGAGATAACTTTTACTATTATTTTCAATACAAATAATATATATATATACATGTATAAAAATTATTATATGGTGATGAGGCTTAGTGTCAGTGGTACACATCTTACAAGTTATCTTATGCTTGTTTGCAGGATTAATTCATAACTTATCAAGGGCAACCAGTTGTTTCCTTGAGCAAGAAACTTTATGCTCACTGTTAAGTATAATTTGGTTCCATAAATAGATTCCAAAGCATGTCTAATAATCTTATATCGCAACTTACAAAATCAAACAAAAATAAATTATATGTGTAACACTAAGCGCACACGTATCAAATGATTTTTTAAGAAGTAGTTTCTTGAATTAAGTACTCAGTGAATCTATCTGGGTTAAAAAGTCTTGAAACAAACTTTTAAATAATGATTATGTAGAAACAAAATAAGAGACCACTTTAGACATGTTAGATACGAATTAATGGGTCCTTACCAAAAAACAGCTGATGACCAGTCATTGACCCCACCCTCTACACAAATCTTTAACTTGTATTTGGGGCGAATAAACAGCAAGATTTTGTTCTTGATACATCTTATAATGATTTTATCCTTCCACTGTTTCTGTACCAGTTTTTTCATACCAGAGAAAATAGGTGGATGATAAGAGATAATCATATCAGAGTTTTGCTTGATGGCCTCGTCGAGAACCGGTGGGGTAAGATCGTTGGTAAGGAAAACGGTGCTAACTTTGTGGGGGGCTGATGGCTCTACGAGGAGTCCAACATTATCCCAGGATCCTGCCAGGGACAGAGAAGCCAGTTTGCGTAACCTGAAATATTTTTATTTCAAAAAAAATTAAACAGATTTAAAAAACTTTAGATGAGATAAAAAGACGTAGATAAATGTTGCAAAGACATGCACAAGATACTACTTAATTATTTTATATTTGTTGGGTGGGTACAATTTTATTACTGCGTATACAATGAACATGTAATTTTTAGTGTTTGTTTATTAAATCTCTGTAGTTCATAACAACAACCAGCGTAGCGATAGTGATATAGCAGTGGCATTTGAGGGGTCTATATTGACTGGAATATTTCAAGTGTATCCCATACTTTGCTATAATGATATACATGTATCTATTACAAAAGGTTATTTATTTCTATTTTAAAACTAAATCCATAATAAAAAGTTATCAGTGAAAATTTAAAGATATCATCAGTGATTTAAATATAAAATTGTTTACTGACTCCTAAATAATTATTGATATTTTTCAGGCAACAGTTCTTTTCCTTTTCACTGCTTCACAGTGCCCTGTTACTGTAGCCCTGATGTCATGAGATGTCCTTCTTTGAATTTTGAATTCACCATTATTAGTACAACCTTGGTCTGCTGGCCCGACAAGTGCAGACCAAAATAACTTGGTACATCTGTGCGACACAAGATGTCCTTTCAATTATGAATTAACCATTATTACTTTAATTTTTAGTCTGCTTGGCATGATCATGGTCTGCACTGTTCGCTATTCAGTGCATATTTTTAAAATCTCCCTGAAAATGAGTAAAAATTGTCCAGATTGAAAGACGGACAGATCAATGTCAGGTAACAAATGCAAGATAAGGGTTAAGGGTTTTTTGTATCTCAAAGGCAACAGTTGCACTGATTTGCAGACAGATCAAATACCGTACAGATAGCATAAAACTGTTGCTATGAAAATAGCTCTTTTCAAAAAATTTTTCAA